AGGAAAACATGCTCATAAATTTCATATTGTATGAAATTCAATGTTTTTCTGGATCTCAGGTATCAGAAACAAGCACACACACTCTGAGTCAGACTCCAACACTAGTAAATCTTCTTTCAATATTGATGGCATCTTCCACATACAATAAAAATTAAATGGTAGTAATGAATGCAAGCTTCAATTAAATACTTTTCTGCATTGTTACTCAAAAAAAGTTACTGTCAGATAGGACAAAGCAAATCCAACTTTTGCTCCCAGAAATTAAGATATCCACTAAATCACCAGTATTTGCAAGCTGTTTCTTGTCTTTACAACCTCCTGTTTCAGTACTGTCACTGATTTCTGGTTTCCTACTCAGAAAGCAGTTACAGTAGAAATGTGACTGTATTAGAAGACAGATTTCCACCTGCTTCACCTTTTTATCAATAGGTCCATCTTCAATTTCCTCACAAGATGATGAGAATCTGAGAAGTTTTATTAGTTTTTGAAATTTTCACTGATAAGTCTGTATATATAAAAAACACATTCTTTGATTTCTGCACTGAATATATATGGATTTTTTTATCCCAGATTGCTTTATTTCCCAGTATGTTATCTTATATGATTCTCTATCAGTTTGAAATGTCCAATTTTCATAACAGAAAAAGAATGTTTCATATAAGAAGAAGAAGTATGGGCCCCAGCATGACTAGAGGTGCTTTATTTGTGCAGAACTCAGAAATGGAATTTCTGATGGAGACAGTAGGTAATTTAGACAATTTAAAAATGAGAAATACAGATTAGGTCTCTAAACCTTTCTTCTTATCTGCCAAAAAAAATAAATGTGTTTGTTCCAAATTCAGTAACATTTTCTCAGTTGGTTATTTATTTGTTCACAGTAGAAGTCAAGTTATATGAAATAATTATTTCCCTCTCTTATCCTAAAGTAGTATTTTTTAATCCCTTCTCACCCCTTCTTTTTAAGTCTTTTAATTAATACTATTTCAAGGGGGTTTTTCTGAAGTATTTTGATAAACTTTTTCTGAAGTATTTTGATAAACACTTTAAACGTTCTAATGAATAAATTGTAGTTTGTAACCAGGACACCATGTTATTTGAAGTAGAATTACTTCACATGAAGCTTCTAGACAAAACACAGAAAGTGTTCAAAGTGATTCATTGGCATTACAGTTTATTTCATATAGGCTAACAGGTCAGCAGGTTTCTTATTCAGAACTTTTAATTAACTTTTTCTTTTTCTGTATATTATAGTGTCTGAATGCTTTCTGTACATCCAGACTAGTCTATCATGCTTTCTAGGTTTTGGGTTGGTTGGTTGGGTTCTTTTAAGGCTGTGAAGAGCCATTTATTAACAACTAGTGAGATTTCTTTTCATCTTTTGGCTTTGGAATTCCAACTATAAATTACATGGTTTGTTTTCACATAAAAACTTATTTTGAAGGAAGTGTAATTTCACTATCCTCTCTTTTTTGGTTTTTTTTTTTCACATATGGCCTATCATATGTTGGAGTTAACCATCAGCCAATATTAAAAGTGCTTACTTTTCTCTTACCTTTCTCTGGCCTTTTTCTGACCTGTAGTTCACAAAACCACCTTTCACTGTAACATTTCCTTTGCAGTAGTTAAATGCATTTTTATTTGTTCCATTCTATAACATAGAAAATTAATGCTTGCTAAAAAATTCAGATTATGGCATTAATTCTTAGTTCCAGAAATACTAATTGCAAAAAATTCTAATCATTCATGAAGAGTATCAGTAGTGTACAAACTAACTTGTTTTACTGACAAAAAAATAATTAAAAGGAGATAATACATATAAGCTTTTTCAGCAGCTTTTGATTATATATGTATATATTCATTATTGATGAATAATGAGTTGCATTTACTGAATTAGACAATAAACTGTTTCTATGTTTTGTTAAATCATGAATTTTTCTAGTGAATCACTAGGTATGGAAGCTGGGCCAAGTCTGGCAAAGAGTTTGGATGATGCCAGTCTTACTGAGGGGAAAAAGAAAGACTTACAGAGTGAAAAATACATATTTCTCAGAAACAGATATGCAGAAATTATCACAGAAACAGTCTGCAGACTCCTAGAAGGTCACAAGGAGATTAGTGACAGTTACCTTGAAACTACCCAGAAGAAATCCTGCTAAGGCAATCACATTCCCTGTGGTGGCAGAGGCTCAGACCTTGTGGACAGGGATAAACAGCCAGTGCATGTGTCCTCAGTATGGCTCTTGATACCATCTTATATAACATTCCTAGAAGCAAGCAAAGGCAACTGATGAGATGAAATTTTGTTTGGGAAACCAACATGCCGGTCGGTGGTGCATGGTTAATGGCAGGGTGGGAGGGGGAACAGAGGGAAGTTCTGGTGGTTGTTCAAACTCATCCTTACTCTCCTTTTATTTTCACAGTGAACAGAGAACAGCTTATTGAATTTGTGTGCATGCAGCACAGAGCTGAAGGAGACTGCCAGAGAAGGGAGGTTCTGAATTTATTGTGATCCTAGCAACTTGGAAGAAAAGTGCAAGATAAACAGTGTGTAATTGAATAAGGTATTTGTGAGGTGTATTTATGGAGGAAAGACTGTGATTCTGCTCCTCTGTCTGAACTGAATTTAGGACTGTCCTGCTGCAACAGCGTACAGATAACATTTCTCCAGGTGGGATTATATGCCCTATATTTAAAGCAAAATATCTGCTTAGCTGTGTGTGGTCAGGCAGGACCTGATGTTTGCTTGCTCAAACACTGCATGTCACTGCCTCAGTGATCATCTGCATTATCTGGGAAATAAGTCTTCTGCTCACAGGTCATAATCCAGAAAAGTGTTTGACAACAAAGATTTGAATCTCTTAAAATGATATAAAACCCTTCAAAAGTATTTGAATGTGGGATTTTAATTTAAATATTTGTTTTCAGTTCTAAGCAATGAATGTATAGTATCTATAAAAATGCAGAGCTATGAGAAGGTGGAAAAAACACTCTGGAGGCAACCAAGCTGTCTTTCTGCTTGCTGGGTTGGAATAACACTGGTTTGCCATATTGTGCAGGATAACTCTGAAAACTTTGAACACAGGGATCTTTGTGATCCTACTGAGTGGTGGCTGGATTTGGGCATCCCAGCTCAAACATGCCCAGACTGCAGGAAAAGGAATTTCACCTCTGTTACCACATGCTGTTCATGGAGAGAAACCATGACTGCAGTGCAGTTTGGAGTCAAGACTGGCTGTAACTCATTGAATTCGAGTGCAGACAGGTGGGGAACAGCTCTTGTCTCCATGAGAATCTTGCCAGGCAAAATGCATCTCCTCCTTTACACATACTTTACGTGAGCATTCAGATGGGCAACGTGCAGTCACTCAGGCCTTCAGCAGCAGAAAAGATAAGAAAGCCTTTCACCACCAAACCCTTCACCAAACAGAGATCTCTGCAGGCTGTTCACAGTTACATTAGTTATTGACACCACCATGCTCAGAAAGAGTTTCCTATCTACTGTCCTATCCCTCACAGAAAGGGTTGATAACAATTTTTTAGCTTACAAAGACAATACCTCTTTAAAAATAGCCAAAAACAGTCTAATCCTGTGAATTGGAATTGTCTTTGGTTCTGCTTTTCTTGTGTTTTTATGCTTTGATAACGAGTTTAAAAGCTTTGCCTTCTGTGTCTATTCCACAAAAAAATTGTGGCCTTCTTGAGTTTTTGAGCACTTGTAGGCCAAGCAGTTGACAGATTATCTTTTATATTTTCATTGAGCCTCTGTGTAGTACTTGTTGGTACTATTCCTCAGAAATACTTTTGATATTAGCCTCAACAGCAACCAAAAAGCAATATTAAAAATGGCTGGGGAAGAGATTGATGAGAGGGAGAGAAAAAGATTGCAATCTAGTCAGAGTAATAACATTCTGACTTCAGCTCTGAAAACAAAGAAATTCATGTATCAAAAAGCCAAAGCTGCACCTTAGTGAAATTTTCTACCATATTTTTTCACTTGCATTTCCTTTAGTTTTTAATGTCTCAGGTTTTTAAATTCATACAGATAATCGAGTATTGGGGCTTCAAGTGAGAAACACTGGAGTTTTTGAAGTAGAGTGGTTGCATAAATGTATAAACCTGCAAATTCAGAAGAAAAGCATACCATGGACAAGAAACCTGTTGTTGGGAGATCCTAGTTTAGAAAATCTTTAGAGGCAGCCATTTTTTAACTCTTAACTGCAGATTGAGCTGCCTGCTCCCACAATATTTTTAGTGTCAAGGCAAACTGCCAAAATATCAGAAGTATTGGTTTGATTTCAAAGGAGAAAGTATTTTGGTTGAATCTGGAGGCATCTTTCTTCAGTTTCTTTGTTTTTTGGTTTTTTTTTATATTTTATCCTTAGCTTTGTCACCTGAAATGTGCCTTAGTCTTGTTGATTTTTGCTGCCTCTGTCTTAACATATTCCTCTCAAAGTAGGTCTTACCATCTTAATCAGTAGAAAGGAACATGACATAGCAAAATGCCCCAACCATTGGTACCAAAGTTTGAGGGAATTCTTGAAGAGAAAGGATCTAAAAATCTGATTATAGTACTTACTCATTAAAAAGATCTAACAGGATTTTAGTATCTCTTATAATGTTCAGACTCTGTGTATATACACAGTGAAAATGTTTCCTTAGGTATTGGAACAGCTCATCTGGGTCATAGGTCCAACACTGGCAATAATTCAATGTAAATAAAGTGGGTTATGTTGCTGCTGGTTTGTTCATCTTGGTGAGGTTTTTTGCTTGTTTGTTTTAAGGGTAATTAGCTGTGCTTTAGAACAAGTAGTCACTTGATTTCTACCCTCTGTGGCAGTGAGTTCTGAGCCTTTTTGACTGGACTGTGCTACATTCAGCAAAATTCTCAGTGGATGCATTGATAAGATGTCTGTTCATTTCTCAGCAGCTGTCTTGTGAAAATTGACAGGTGACCTTCAAGGCAATTATGCAGCTTTATTTGTTCAGTTATGTTGATAGAAAGGTATTTTAGCTTTCATTCTTTTCTCCAGTTTTCTGTTACTTCTTTTTCCTCCTTTTTTTTTTTTTTGTCTCCTCTTCAATGCTTATTTTCTGTTAAAGGTCTTTATGCTTGATGTCCATCATTAGGTTTCATTATTATTTAATAATGTTTCATTCTAAATGATATTAAAAAAGCATAGGACTATTCAGACTAAAGATATTGGAACAGTGAATGTGTGATATGAAAATAGGCCATCACAGGTGCCTAAATTTTATGCTAAAATATTCATATAGCTGCATGTTTGGAAATACAAAAGCATATTTTTCATAATTTATAATAAGGTGAATCAGTTCATTCTGTACATCGCATTAAATTAATTCCTAGTTGGGTTTTTTTCCTCATTTAGCTCAAATTATTCAAATCCTCGCATAATTTCTTGGTTTTCTGTTGACGGTCAGTAAGCATTGCTGTTGGAATAGTTCACACTAAGGCCAGCCTGTTGACTTAAATGAGGCTCTTGCTACGGCCTTTTTCCTCTGATGTACTGCAGATGAAAAATCCTGTAAAAAAAGGCCGTAACGAAGCCTTAGTCTGAAATTATTCCATCTCTGAGAGGTAGCAGGTATCTTTTTAAGGCATTGAACGCTTGGTAGAACCGTCCAGAGATGTAATTCGCCAAAGTCTCCTCTTTAAATAAGTGTAATGCACACTCAAGCTTAATCTTAAGATTAATCTTTAAAGAAAAAATGTCTTAAAATGCCTTGAAAAGAGAGAAAACTTAGAAACACAGTAATTCAGCTCTCTCTTATACCACCCTCTTTTCTTGATTATTCTTTCAAGTTTCAATCCAATTACTGAAAAGGAAGCAAAAACATCTTATGTGATGTGGAAAACACTGTTTAATTAAGATGTGTTATTGAGATAGATATGAAGAGCCCTTCACTTAAATCAGATTTATTGCTTCCACCTTGTTAACCTTTATCCTCAGTCACTGACCATTTTGTTACACAGTGGGCCACAGATTTCACATTTACAGCTTTTCAAAAGTGCACTTGTCAACTTCCACTATAAAACCTGACATTCATATCATCTTGAAAGCTTGATAACAAAGTGCTGCAAGTGCTCAGCATGAAGCTGCAAATATAAAAATGTATTCCACAGCAATAAGAGGCTGCCATGAGTGTCCTTTGCTAATTATCAGGAGAACAAATGGCCTTAGATTAATGTGGCACAAGGAAAACATTGCAGATTTCTAGACTGAAAAAAGAAGCATTTTGAAAGGCTAGTTATCTAGAGATAACTCTTGGAGTACCTCTGGCAGCACTATTTTTAAGCAAAACAGAATAATGGAAATAAAAGCCTGGCTCTACCATTGTCCACAGAGAAGCATAAGGATTAAGTGGGTTTTTCAGGAAGATTTAAAATACAGGAACTGCAGTCCTCAGTGAAAATGGTCAGCCCAAAACCATTAGTTTATAATGTGAAATTTGAAATATGTTTTTTTCCCATGCACATCATTTTACAATTCTTTACACTAGACTTCACAAGCTATTTTCATTACTCAAGGAGTCTCCTATAGCAGATTTGTAGTCCTTCACTGTTTGCCCTTACCCTTTCTATCTGGAATACATTTGCATCGGGTGCATGCTTTGTCTCCTTCCTGCTCACCCACTCTTCCACAGCCTCCACAAGCACGTTAATCAGCACAAACGGAGCCAAGTGCACACCAAATTCCACAGGTGACCTCCCTCCATTCAAACAGTGGATTACCTATGCTTGTTTCCTAGCTCCTATCTTTGGAACAGTTATTGTCACATTACAGAGTTTTCCCTCTTACCCCATCACTGTTCTTTTAAATCACTGAAGAGTCACTGTAAAAAGTCATCTGGTATAGAGGTGTCAAGGTAAGAAAGAAGTAAGTAATTAAGTTTGGAGGTGAGCACCTATCTCAGGTTCCAGGAAGGGAATCCACACACATTCCCTCCGCTCCTTGCCTGCCACGACTGTTGTTCAAGCCAAATTCATTGTTTGACCTTTCCATAAAATTTACCAAAGAAATGACTTGGCCCCAGGGCACTCAGGGATGGGAAAAGTGACAAAATACATGCAGTTGAAAAATAAGCAAAGCACATAATGTTTGCATTCTGTTACTGCTTTGGCAGCGATCGGTGTCATCTGAGAGTTCTGCACTCTTGACTATCTTTGAACATTTCTTCTTTAGCTGGGAAGTAATTTATTTCATAGTGCAGGGCTTTCAAGTCCTCTGCAAAACCGTCTGCTCTATTTTTTTTCCCACTGATTCATTTTTATCTATTCCCATGATTTGAAAAGTCAACATGCAACTTCCTTTTTTTATATATCTTCTCCTGCATAGTAAGGATTTTTCATTTTTTTCTTTGGCTTCTCTCTTATCATTTCCTACTTTTACGTCTCTGATGTTTCTACAAGCTATAACCATCCAATTTAGTCTCATCAATTCAGTATTTCTTATAACACACACAGGAATCAAGTGTATACTTGTTAAAAGTGTAACCACAGGACTCTTCTGAGTGTATTAAAGGACGTGCCTCTCCCTCTTTCTCAGAAGACTGTGCTTGAAGCTATTTAGGAAGATTTCACTGAAGACTGAATACCACTTTCGCTGTTATCTGAGTAAGAAATTGCATTCTAGGAAAAGCCCATGGAGTTCAAAGCTAAGTTCATATTCATTTAATTGAAAATCAAGCCCAGTTTTTGTTCTCAAGAACCTTCTTGCTTTAAAGGAAATTAAATGTTTAGGCTTCCAAGAAAACTCATGCATACTTTGATTGTTCTTAAGACACATGAAGAAGTTTCTAAACAGCTTCGTGCTTATGTTATCCAATTAATTGGACAAAAGAAATGCAATGGCAGTATCTGTTGCAGCT